ATATACATATATACTTATGTATGTAGATTGAGATGATATGGGGGTAGGGGCCAGGAATTGGAATTTGTATGTAGAGATGACAACGCATAGGCTAAGTTCTACAAATTAACATAGACATATTAGACGAAAATGTTTCTAGGCTTTACCCAAAATAATTGAATTGAAGTTTTACTTACAATTGACATTGCATTTTTATTTTGTTCAGTATGGTTTTTTTTTTTCAACAAATGACTCAGTCAAGAGGCTTTTGGGATAGTGGAGGGAAATTTTGGACTGGGTTTGTACTGAGGAAAATAAAATACCAAGAGTTTTTGTACTACGAGCATTATCTAGGTATCGAAATGCAGTTGGCGCACAAAAGTAGGCAACATCGAGAGGAAAACAAGCTAATGTTTGTATGTATAGATATATGTATGTGTATGTATGTTTGTGTATGGTTTACTTATTGGTTACTTAAGCAAGAAATGAAAATCTCGGTTCGGAATTGTGAGTTTTCGTATACGTATTCGCAGATAATTGCATTTGAATATGTATGTCTATATATATATTTTTTGGTATTTATGTATGTGAGTACTTCTCAGTTTTATGTGTGCTGTATCACAGTGGACGGCTGTCCACATCAGTTACAAACCCAGTTATGTGTGTTTGTGTGTGTGCTCTCATGATGATATCGTTAGTTATACATATATGTATATGTATGTACGTAGTATATATGTCTAACATATAGAGTTTTATTTTGTTGTCACATCAAATTTGTGTATGTATATGTATGTATAAAACTATAAACAAATCGCATTTGCTACTACTTAAAAAAGTCTCTACCCAAGTATACGCTGGCCCACTATACCTAAACACTTCTGAAGATCTGATTCGTGTGCGTGTGATCTCTGACAAATAACATCGATATCGATACAATCAAATACTATATACATATATAGCGCGTTGCTCTCTATTGGCTTAAATGCAAAAATTTTAGTTGTGTAATACGTATATATCTATATAGTATGTGTTTTTGTGTGGTAAATGCGATCTTAAGTTAGCTGCAAAGCATACATCGATTCTGGAGACTCGTTTGTATAGAATATATATGTATACATATGTATATATATGTATGTATATATAATATGGACATATCGATAGATAGTGCAAAGCTCCTCAGATTTGTTCGATATGTGGTATTTGTTTATTTATTAGCTATAGTATTTCACTCTCATATTTTTTATAGATTTTCTTGGGTATCAGGGTGGGCTTTTCTGATTACGTTTCCCTACGAGTATTTCGATGCTTATGCATAAGAGATTTCATTTTTCTTAACTTTTGATTTATAGTTTCGGTTTTTCTTTTCATTTTTTTTTTTATCTGGTAATTCTTTGGCTAGACTAAGAGTAAGTTGAGTTAATTATGTTGATTTGATTAGCGCTGTGCTCCAATTATTGTTCTCTTTCTAGAAATACCAATCAGCTTAGCTAAATACAATTAAATATTGAATCGAGTTGAATCCCATCGAGTTACAATTGATTACAAATACACACGGCGATTACAAGGATTGTTTCGTTTCGTTTTCTTTTCTTTTTTTGATTATTTTCAATTTGATTTGTGATTTTCGATTTTCGACTTTCGACTTTCGACTTAATGGCCCTGCAATTTGGCCAATTGCCGGGAGTTTTCCATTTGAAATTCTTCCATTTGACAGTATATTATGTATCTGCATTGTTGGGCGTTGAGCAAAATAGAAAATATGTTCATATTTATATAAATATATCGAGATGTTGCAAGAGAGAAAAGAGAGAGGGAGAGAGAGAGAGAGAGAGAAAGAACGAGAGAGAGAGAGAGAAAAGCAGGCACAAGCCAATTAGTGCGTTATTTGACGGCATTTCAGACATGCTCTAAAACACGCACACAAACACGCCGCACGTCGTATGCATGTATGTGATTATAACATATATGCGCGTATGTATGTATGCCTACGCACACATATACATATCTCGTTTACATAATACATACACACACACAGACACTGACACACACTGTTGTACGAGACGAAGACAGAGACAGCACTAGTTATAGCTAATATATGATGCAGCTAGTTTAGTATATGGATACGTATGACGGCGCATGAATATATATATATATATATGTATGTATATATATGTAGCTGTGGAAGAGAATGAATTGTCTTCAGTCAACAACTAGGCACACAACAACAATAATCTCGGGACTAGCTCCACAAACTGCTTTACTGGATGATTGCTACGAGGCGCACAGGGACTGTGAGCCCTGAGCTGATGAGATGTACGAGAATATGCAAATCATTTGGAAATCAAGAGAAGCGTATGACACTCTAATGCTCGTGTCTGTGTTTGTGTATGTGTGGGTGTCTTTGGATGAGGTGAGTGATGGAAGAAGCGGTACACAAATCGTAAATATAGCCTAGACCCTTAAATACTTCCGGCTAAACTAAGAGCT